GCAAGGTCTGGCTGTTCCTCTGGGGCGGTTGGACCTGCCGTCCTGCCCACGGGCAGTGGTCTCCCTCCCTCTGAAAGCATCCTGAGCGTGGCCACCTTGACCAGGGGCTAAAGTAGGCAAGGGGGTCATGCCCCCTGCTGAGGCTGTCCTGCTCTTGCCTGGGAGCCTGAGGTCCCTCCATCCTGCTCTTGTCTCCACTCAGGTTTCACAGCTCCAAGTCGGGGAAGATATACCTTCACAATGACATCCGTCTGCTTTTTTCCCGCAAGTCAATCGAGGTTGATTCGGGGATCCCCTATGAACTGAAATCCTTCACGGAGATGCCGAAAAACCCCCGCTACTCGCCCCGGGCCTGACCTTCTCCATCTGCCCACGGCCACTGGGGAGCCTCCGGCCCAGCACTTTCGGGGAGAGATGAGTAAAGGGCCAGCAAAGCAAGCACCAGTTTGAAGTATCACCCTCCCTGCACACCCCCATCCTCCTGAGCAGCACAGACACCATGCCTGTGCCCTGCAGCAGGGCTGGGATGACCGTAGGAGTTTCACCAGGCGGGGCAGTGGCTGAGGAGGAGCCCTGGGCACTCCAGAGCCATGCTCAAGCCTTCTGCTGGCAACTGCTCCTCAGTTGGAGACATGGCTGGAGCTGCAGGGGGGAAGTGAAGAATTGGGCTGGGGTGTCCAGGTGAGGCTGCCCATCCTGGTCCTGGGGTTGGGAGCAGAAAGTGCAGAAGAGTTTGTATTTATTCGTATTTATTATTGCTGGGAGCACAGAGGTTTGTGCTGAGGATCACAGGTGCTATGCTATTCTTCCCCCAAACCTTGTTGGTGCTGGATGAGGCCCCTGGCAGCGTGGCACTACCTGGGTTGGGGTAGGGCTATGGGGACTGTGAGGGTGACTGGGGACAGGGACACCTCAGGCTGTGGAAGACAGGGTGACCCACCTCTTGGCCAGAGTGCAGCTCCTGGGCTGGGGCTGTGTTAAAAGCCCTGGGAGAGGCCAAGACTTGCTGGGCATGAGCTCTGGCAGCTTGGGCCAGCCTAGACTTGCCCTCCTACCAAGTGGTGGAGATTGCCCAAAAATCAGAGCCTTGCACTGTCTGCATGTGTGGGGTGAATCCTATACAAGAGGTGGCAGGGTCCTGCCAGCAGTGTGATCAGGTGCTGGAGGGTGGGCCGGAGCCCCAGCTTAGTCCCTGGGACAAGGGGAAGCAGCAGAAGACATCAAATTAGAGTCAGGCTGGACATTCACAGAGGAGTTTGGGGGCAATCTGGAGCAGTGTCCGTTCCTGCTGCAGCCTTGGGAGCTGTGGCCGTGCCCAGGGTGGGTCAGAAAGGTGAGAGTGTATGGGGGCAAGGGAAAAACGAGCTTGCCTGTACCCCATCTGCATTGCTCTGCAAACAATGTCTCTGCTGGGCTCTTGATGCCAGGTCAGGCTCTCGGGAGCCCCAGCCCCGCTGTAGGGGGAAGGATGAGAGGGACAGGGCCCCACGCCATCACATGCCAGGCTCTGTGGGGCTGTGGCCTCGCTGCAGCAGGCACGACCCCGGGGACGGAGGCTCCCTGGGACAGCCATCGTTTTACCAAAAGCCCAC